TTCAAAAGAGAAGGAGAAGTTGCACGATTTTGAAAACACCGTAATCGCGCTGGTTCCTTTTTGCTAAACGCGATCCATTTTTTTTCCCACGGCACTTTTGACCGAGCGCGAGCAGAACGTTCCACAAAACTTTATCCTAAAATGTTATGCAAAGGTATTTCTCGCGCTTAGCGGGCAAATGGCCGAGTCGGTTCCCGGAATCGCGATTTTATATTTATATGGCGCGAGGGTGTGGCGGGTGGCGGGGAAAGGGGGGCTGAGTCATGAGTCGCTTTTTGTCTTGTGGCTACTCCGCGCAGTCCGCGCCGGCCACGGTGAGGTCTCGCTCTCGCGGGTGAGTCATGAGTCATCCGGATATTGACTCGTGGCCACTACCGTGCTATGGAAAAACGCCGTATGAGCCTTCAGGCGTTGCCAAATTTCCACTTATAAAACACAAATTTCCTGGTAAACTTATGAATATTTTTCTTCCAATTTTTCAGATGATATTATTCGCAATTTCACCTGAAGTTCCAGAAAATTTCAAGGAAAAATATCCACAACTTTCCTTAAAAGTAAACATTTTATCGAAGGAAATTCGGCAACTCTCGAATGTTCATACGGCGTTCTTCCTTGAAACGGCAGACTTATAATCCAAGCTCGAGCACAATGCGAATCGCAGGAAGAAAACGACCGGAAAACACGGGTCAGGACCCTCTTTAATTATCTTCCGGCTTGAGTTTTAAATAATTCCTTCCGACGAGGCTTAAAATTAATTTCAACTAGAAGAAAAACAGATTTGGTTCATCGACGCATGCGACAGTTTTGATCGAAGACGGTACCTTCAACAATTTATTAGTTTTTAATCCCTCTATATAAGTATTATTATTTCCTTATGACTGTAAGGATGCAAGAATTTCTTGACTACAAGACCGGACGTTTGGTCCTCAGACTCAATTTGGTCGATTAAGGGTTTTATTCAAAACTTTAGCTCAAATCTCGTGCTGACTCTGAGAAGTTCCTTTACGCGCACGTCAAATACGTCCCAAACTCGATTTTCAAAAATTTTAGTCGGTCTATCTCAAGTCATAGGAGTTCCCAGCCTTCCTCTTATAAAAACCCATTTTTACTCGAAAATTTCAGAAATATGACTTGTTTATGAGTCTGCGCGTATAAACTGCTGGGACTCTACGGAGAAAACGTAATTTTTAGCGCGATTTGAGGGGGGAAAACGACGCATTTTTGCAAAAATACTTAATTTTGCAGGTTTTTCCGTTTTAAATATCGTTTTCTTTTGAGTCTCAGGGCTCATGTCTTAATGCACATAGTTCCGTTTGCTAAAAATACGTCCATGAGTCATGAAGTTCCAAGATAAAAAATCCAAGGTATTACAAGAAACGTGGTTTAAGTGATTGCAAAAAGTTAAGAAAAGCTCTTTTCCCGGAAGATAATAAAAACTCATTTTCACGGATCCGATCACAAATATAAACTGATATTACTGATTGACAAACTCATTTTTTAAAAAGATGTGTAGTCACCGGCCAAATTATCGTCACACAATGGAAGTTTTTTCTGACTGTTCTCAATTCAAACGCTTTGGCAACAGAAAATCATCGGAAAATTTTAACCAGCTCGGATTTGCAAATGAGTTAAATGATAAGTAATGGCTTCTAGTTGATCCTTAATTAAATTTTGCTATTACATTAACTTTTAAATCATCCACTGCTTCAGAAGTATCATTTACCACACACGCAGTGGTGTGTCTGTGTATATTCAAAATTCATCTTCCTCTCCGGGATAAAATACGATTTTTTTATTATTATTTTAAACAAATATGTTTTATTTTTGCATATTTTTTTAAGATTTCCTTTTTATAAATTTGTTAGGAGCTCAACTCAAATTTGGTTGCTAATATATAAACTGAAACTATTTGTTTATCATCACAAACGCATTTTTATTAGCGCTTTATGAGTGGCTGAGGAACATTTCTTTAACTAAATTTTGAATAAGCAATATTGATTTTTGGTGTAAGAAGCGCTGAAATCGTTTTCAAAGCAAACAAGAGAATATTGATTTCTTTAGAGAATTTATTCCTCTATACTTTCTGCGATTTAAATTTCCAGAAAACTTACGAGGAGAGTTAGCGCGTGAAAACGCACAGAAATCTTAGTCACAAGTGGGTGCCTCGTTCCGGAAAAACTAATAAAATTGAATTGATCCACACAAGATCCACACAATTGTCCACACAAGATCCACACAAGATTACAAGATCACAAAATCACAAGATCCACACAAGATTACAAGATCACAAAATCACAAGATCACAAGAGCACAAGAGCACAAGATCATAAGATCACAAGATCACACGATCACAAGATCACAAGATCACACGATCATAAGATCACAAGATCACGAGATCACGCACAAGATAATTACACAGGATCTAAAGTAAATCAATTATTTTCTTCAAGTCCTTTTAACAAATACATTTTTTTTTTAAACAAAATTTGGGGGCAATACATTTTTACCCTCTAACCATTTATTAAAACCCTTCAGTGTGTCGTCTATGCTGTATTCTTAAAAAAAAATCCCCACAAATTTGAGAAAAAAGTTATTTCAGTTCACAAAAAATATTACCGTTTTTTTTTTACTGCACAATACGTCTTACCGTGTTCGAACCCTCAGTTCTAATCTTTCCACCTCTATTAGCAACATAATCATGCATCAATTTAAACGATTTTGCAATCATTATGATTTTGAATCAGTCCCCCAAAGTATTGTAACTACCCTTAATTTTTCCCAAATACACAATGTAAGTTACGTGCATGTTAAGCGGCGCGCAGCATGGAGTGCACATAAAATCACGGGTACAATTTGTACACCAACAGATTTGGGACAAATTTGAGGTCTGTATTTTTGGCAGATAAGTGAGCTTTTCATGATGAGGACATTGTTGCGAAAGGCGAACTTTTCATGTTCGAGACGGGTTCTAGTTGCAAATGTCACAAAATTTTGATTTTACGATACACGCTCATGGATTATTAAATCGAAAATAATATGATCCTTACTCGAGTTTTACGTTGAAAAGATGCAAGGTGTGAAAAAATTATTGAGAATGATCTATGATTTCACATATTAATATTTCAATAAACGATTAAAATTTAAATTAAAGATATGGAAAGTTTCATTATAAAAATCATCCTCTCTTAAAATGACCCATATGAAAAAAATGAAGCAAAAGAGTCTTGTTTTGGCTCACAACATTGATTATTAAAGTATCCGTATATTGGTTCGGGACACCCTGTGTAAGACTTGAGCACTAACATCTGATAATTCTAGCAATAGACCCAATTTTCAACTTCCAAAAAGTGGGAAGGGGGCATACTTACCATGTAAGATGCCGATGTATTTATAAATGTTTACTTCTTACGTTTTGCACGTGCGTAAAATTGGTAAAGTTTTTAATCGTACGTTTTAAGTGAGTAAATACGTGCGTAAGTTTTTAAAAATATGTTGGTATTAAAAAATTAAATAAACTCCAAAGGCAGCTTCCAAATAAGAAGACTTTAAAACTCCGGAAAAATAGTAGGTAGTGAAATCAGTAAAAAATCATCATCTAAATTTTACAAATTTCATAATTAATTTTTTGTTTGGACCCATCTATCTTATAGAAACGTTCAGTTTTAACATTCTAGAAAATATCTGTTTCATAAAAAAAAAATGTAACATTTTTATGAATGCTGGCATTTTTAATGTGGCCCTCCTGCCAGGTGATAAGCTCACGTGTAACTAACCGATCGCATCATGTAGCGATTTTATCAATCTTGCATCGTAATTGCATCATACATGATGACTTTTCGCGATCGAATATCTTAAATTTTTCGTTTTTCGCTTCCCTCGCGGATAGAGAAAGTATTGTCATCGTGGAAACAACTTAAAAGTACTTGGAAAATGTGTGTCCGTCCATCTGGCGCACCCTATTTCTAATCAGGAATCGCAGCCGTATCTCCACCATTAATTTGTTCCATCTCATTCAAAATTAGCATGGAGGACCATATCTATGGTCCTCTCAGGCGCGTCATGTGATGTCAGGATACGCCAAATTTTTTTAAAAATTAAATCCAACTATTGCTCCTACGAATCGTTAATAATTGTAAAAATTCAGTTTTGAAGTTCTCGGAATCTTCAGAATAGAGAATCTGCAGGTGTCTGAAATTTGATGAATTCCATGTTAAAACGGAAACTACTGAGTGAACTGAACACGGGGATATCCTTGGTTCAGGAAACGAACAATTATTGGAAAAGATATGACAAAATGATCTAATATGCTAATATACATGAGTTTAAATGGGAAATGCCGCCAGATGACGTCCCTAGGCGGTGCATTTTCTCACTTTTAAATCTATTTTTACACAATTTCCCACATCAGAAAAACATTATAAAGAAATTCTGTGAAATCAGCTCTTTAAGCACTTCCAGATGAAGCAATAAAAAATTTGCGTGCAAATTCTCCATTCCCGGAATTTCCAGCTCTGCTTCGGAATCTCGGTATTCTCCGTCAGTTTGACCGATTTGATCAAATTTGATGATTTTCTGATCGGATTTCAGAACTTAGTCCGGGCGTATTTCGGAATATTTTCCCGGAACTTTCGAAAAATCTGAATTTTTCAAGGAACTTTTGGAAATTGGAATACTGGAATAAATTCCGGAAACTCCGAAATCTCCGATAAACTAAAATGGCACACTGGGAAAAAACACATTGGATCTAGAGTCCAGACTCTTGAAAACATTGATAAGAAAAAATACTCTTGATTCAATCGGATTTTTGCTTGAATCAAAACGAAATCCGCTTAAATTAAGAGGCTTGGTTCTTGATTTCAGCTAGATTCTGATTGAATCAAGAGTACTTTTTCTTGTCGATGTTTTTAAGAGTCTGGACTCTAGATCCAATGTGTTTTTTTCCCCAGTGCACCACGGGTAAAAATAGGCTCCTATACGATACATAAAATCAGGCTACTCACCAGTAGGAACAAACACTTCTCGCTGGTCCTCAGCCTCCTCTTTGTCTTCGTTGACGGCATCGTCAATGTCCATCGACGAGGGGGTCTCAGGGAGCTGGAAACTCTGGTTCGAAGCGGGGGGGCAATCGTCCCCGGAAACGGTCATCGCCGACTGCGGACGCGTCGACCCGGAAACGGAAACCGACGAAGGGGTGGATATCCGCTGGCAGTGCTCCTCCAACGATGACGTCAGCGACGTGGCCGGCGAGCTCACCGAGAAGTCCTTATCACAGTTTTTGTACTCGAAATCATCAGGCATCCGGATGAGATTCATAGAGATATCGGAAAGATCACAGGAAATCAGTCTACAGTTAGCGTCACCGAGTGGACTAGAGCAATCGGATCGCTCGCATTCGAACCCCGAATCGTAGCGCAGATCGTTTTCGGTCGGGAGACCCGGATATGACGGTGGGTCGCCCCGGGGATCCAAATTCTGCACACCCTTACAATTAGATAAATCGGTGAGTTCTGGACTAGGGAGTTGTTGGAATGTTCCGTCGTACCTTTGGACGTCATCACGTAGCCTTTGAACGGTTTCAACGTCATTGCTACTAGAGGTTACGTTATTATATTCACTCCTTAGAATGTTCAGAACGTCGAATGTGTCCTTCCAACCGATGATTTCATCATCGTTGAAGTTTTGAGCGGCGTTTAGAACGCTTTCGTTGGCACTTTGGTAAAATGACTGGGGGTTTGAGTAGGTAGTTAGGGTTTCGAGGACCGAATCGGGTCTTGGGTCCGATGCTGGGGATCCGCGGGGGCTGTCCTCGTCGGCCAGGGATTGGAGGTTCTCGAAACTGGGCGAGGATTGGTAGCCACTCTCGCTGGAGATTCCTCGCTTGATTTTGACCAGGCCCCCTCCGCAATCGTTGAATTTGTTCGTCTTTAAGACGATGTTTTCGAGCTCGGTGGAAGAGAATGTCTCTTCGGTTGAGAAAGTTTGTGACGTGAAATTTTCCATGGTGTGGATTTGGTTCTGCGAGTGTTGGGTTTACATTTTTGAAATTACAAAAAAAACCCTCGCGGGAAATATTTTCGGATTCGCCTTCGAAAAAAGTTTGGTGCGAGTAATTTACATTGCAGTTGTAGATGGAAACTCACAGATTTCGAAAATATTTTACACTTCTTTTTATGTCTTTCTATGATCAAGACCGATTGTTGCAGGGATTGACGTTAGCAGGAACAGATGGCAGTGCAGTTCTTGAAAAATGAGTCAATTGTTTTCAATTTTTCCAAGAGTGACAATTTATTCTTTGAAATGAGTCGAACACGCACACGACTCCAAGAAAACAGGAGACAATATCACAGGTCACAATTTAAATTAAAATTACACGCCTCAAAAAATTTCACAGGAGGCAAATACGTTCAAATTGTCTTTATGAATCCTATAGAAATTTGTTTCATTAATTTTCACCTAAAGCACGTATCGTTGACCGATTGCGAAAAAAGTCCAATTTTTTTTTTTTTTTTTTTTTTTTTTTTTTTTTTTTTTTTACAAAATAAACTTATTTAATATTTCGAATCGAATCGCAACATAATATATGGCAGTGATGTAGTACGTTGAGACAGCTTGGAGGTGCATAAATTCAAATTTTGAAGAAAAAATGTCACATTAAACCGAAGTTTCAAATTATGAAGACGGATGTACGTGTTAGGACACAAAATTATCGATACTTGTTCGGCAGTAACACACCAATCACTGGCAATTCGCGCACGTGGAATGCGACACTTTTTTTCAAATCAGTCGACAAGGTTCGCATCCAATTTTGCTCTAGGAGCCAAAGAAACGAAGCGCCTCAAAAAATGTCCAAAGCTCCTTCGAAAAGAAATAACGCAACGTGCGACACTTTTTTCAGTCAGTTCGTAGGATTTTACCGATAGCACATTCTGAAGTTGAAAAAACTGAGCGTCCCGAAAAAATGTCCAAAGCTCCTTCAAAAACGAATAACGCAACGAGCGACACTTTTTTCAGTCAGTTCGTAGGATCCAATCTATAGCACCTTTGGGGTTAAAAAAACGGAGCGTGTTAGAGAGAGCCTCGCGGATGACGCAACGTGATCAAAGCGCGCGAAACCGAAGTGGAACCGAATTCGCGGCGCGAGGCTTCGGTGTCGGCGACTGATCATGAACTGATCCTCTTTCTCGGGCCCCAGCCGGCGCTGATTCACCGGGCTGGTCGGCAGACGACTCCCCGACAGAACCCCGTCCCACCTCGGCGAGAGAGAAAGGCTACTATCAACAACAACAGCACTCGTTTACATTATCCGATCCGCCAAGTAGCCGGTACCCGAGAACCCGTGTTTTGATGGCTTATGCCTCCTTCAGTCTACACCCGATTTTCCACCGACGCGACGCGCTCCGCACTGTTGCCGCGCACGAAAACACTCCGGTTTGTGGAACACGAAAGTTTTCGGTCATTGGGATTCTGCACTGAAAAAAAAATCTCGGTGTATTTACTAGGAAAAGGGTAAAATTACCAAGAATTCAGGGTTCTATTTGAACCCAGTTTTTTCTTGGTAAAATTACCATTTATGGAATTGGTAATTTTACTGAGAAATCTCGGCAAAATTATTGAACTTTCTCGGTAATTTTACTGGACCTTGGTAAAAACGCCAATATTTTTTATCGACTGTGGTAGAATTACCGAGATAAAATGACAAAGTTACCGGGAATTGATTACCAATAAAAGTGGTATTCTTACCTGAAAAAAAAAACAGTAAAAATACCTGTTTTTAGGTAAGCTTACCAGTATGTCTTGGTAAAATTACCAATAATTGATAAAAAAAGTGAGATGGTAAAAGTACCAACGGACCTTGGTGAAAACGCCGAGAATTTTTTTTTCAGTGAATGTGGCTAGGATTGTGCAAATTCATCCATTGCAGTAAAATAATTGAGATCATGAAAAATATGAAATTTACATGGTAAGTTCTGTCTTGGATTCTCAGTTTTCAGCGAATAAAATAGAAACTGTCAATGTATAATCAGGTTTTTTCTTTTCCAAGACAGAAGAAGTTGCACAATCTTAGCAACATTGCAATACTCGTGGTTCCTTTTTGCAAAATGCAATCCAATTCTGCCGTGGTAAGGAAAAACGCCTTATGAACCTTCAGGCGTTGCCAAATTTTCTTCGATTAAACACGAATTCCCTGTTAAACTTATGAATATTTTCCTTCCCTTTTTGCAGGTAATTTTGGTCGCTGTTTCACCTAGAGGTCCTTAAAATTTTAAGGGAAACATTCATAACTTTCCTCAAAAATGAACATTTTATCGAAGGAAATTTGGCAACTCCCGAATGTTCATACGGCGTTCTTCCTTAGCACGACAGTACTTACGTCCTTAGCGCGTGTCTCTCATTTTGCAGAGTTCGTTTCTCCTTCAATAACCGTGATGACGATTGGAATGGCTTCGGAGCACGATTGGTTGCTTCTGAAAGCTTTTCGCTTGCAATAGGAGTCACAGGCGTACATCTATGCATCAAATGTGTCTTCTCAGTTTCTCAAATCGATGCAAGAATCGGATATTCTGGAAAATACATCTCCTTTAAAAATCATTTGATGCAAGAACTTAGCATGAGCAAAATTAAATTTCCTCGTAAATCAATACAGACTGAGCGGAAATGAAATAGCGGCTGTTCCGATTCATTTCCTATAATTTAATTAGTTGCTCGGGAGAGAAAACATTTCTCGATGAAGGGGAGAGAGATGTTTTCTCTCCCAAGCAAAAAGTTAATGCTCAGGAGAGAAATGTATCTTATCCTAAGCACCAATTAGTGGCTCCGAAGCGAAAACATTTCTCCTCCCTGCATCGAGTATTTGCTAACGAGAGAAATGTTTTCTCTCCCAAGCAAAAAGTGCTCAGGAGAGGAATGTATCTTTTCCTAAGCACCGACTAGTTGATTTTTTGTCCGCGCACCTGTTTTGTCACTAGCGCCCACAAATCTCCAACAGGGATACTTCACGCATTGGGCAATGCTTGAAGTATCCCCTTAGGTTTGTAGGCACCAATGCGCGTTCCGCGCAATGCTTGAAGTATCCCCTTAGGTTTGTAGGCGCTAATGCGCGTTTCGCGCTGGCGGCATGCCACCGCTATGTGTTAGGTACTAATCGATGGTGAAAGTGCAGAAGAGCATATGTCGGAAAACACGATTTGTTCAAACAAACTCAATGTTCGTACGGCGTTTTTCCTTAGTACGGCCGAATTAGGCTGCGGTCCAATTAATCAAAGCTTCGTCACTTTCCGGCAAATGTATCAAGCGCCATGCGACGGTTAAATATCTCCGCTGTCATTGTATTTTTTTTTTACACAGTAATTGTTTTAGGAAGCTGTCCGAAACTTCTACCGAATTTTCTCTCTGCTGCCGATAAAATTCAGTGACATTTTCAAACAGATTCAACCCGCAATTTCTCTGTGAAAAAATAAAATGATGGCGGAAATTTCTAAACGACGCATGGCGCTTGTGATACTTTGGCCTGAAGGTGAAGGATGAAGGTTTGTGTTAGCAATGCTTAGGCTTGTATTTTTTACCGAAGACTCTTGCTGTCTGAACAAGAAGAGAATTTTACACGGGGGTGTTCATAATATAAAATTTCTCACAAAAAATAGTGCGAAGTTTAGGATTAATCTGAAAATCTCCATATCCATTATTGAAAAATTCTAGGATAATGAGAGTTTATGCAACTCAAGATCCCATTCCAGAAGCTTTTCCATGTCTGTATATTTAATGTTGAAATGGACTTGTTGCAAACTGTAGCTAGAGCATAAAAGATAGTTATTGTTTTACAAAATGGCTCAAAAATCACTATCAGCGCCTTGGAAAAGTCTGAAATACACACCTAACTTCAGAATCTACGCAAGAAATGTATGCGTTTTTCTGAGCTTCGCGGTTCATAATACTACGTCCTCCATACGTACGTTCATACGTTCCGATACTACGGCACAGGTGAAAATTTGTCGTAACAGGAGTTGTTCCATCCTACCCTTGTGCACCAGGATGCTACACAATATATTCAAAACGGCCGACGTCAACCCGCCAAACCGCACGGGACAAGACGGAATCGATTACTGCTGCAGGGCGATTATTGAAACTGATCGACAAAGTAATAGACAAAGAAGACATAGGGAGTATGGAGCGATCTTATTGGTTGACGTGGTTGGTTCTCATAGACTGAGGGAGAAAATGATGGACTAACTGTCGGGTCTTTAATGGGTTGCCGTTAGTTAGTCCATTACCTACCTCCCATGTCCATTGCCACCACCTGCTTCCACCAATAGGATCCCTCCAAATCCCTTTTGTCGTCTTTGTCTATGGCTTTACCTATCAATGTTAATAATCGGCCCGCTGGCGAGTTTATATTTACATTTTCCTTGCATTAATAAAGACCATGGTGCTTCCTCACGATTTGCGCGGGGAGGCGTCAGCCATGTTGAATATTGTGTACTATCCTGGTGTGTAAGGGTTGGATGGGACGACTCCTCTTGCAAAACGTTCACCAGTGCCTTGGTTTCGTTTTTGAAGCGGGAAGCTTAAAAAAAACGCACGTTTCCCACGCAGATAGATTGTGAAGTTAGGAGTGTATGTTAGACTTTCTCGCTGCACTCATCGTGATTTTTGAGCCATCTTCCAGAAGGAACGGTTTTTTTTTCGCTCTAGCTGAAGTTGGCAACAGGCCTTTTGCATCATGCCTGGTGAAGCTCAATTGTCGTGAAGTTTACTAACAATCGATCGGAGAAGCGCTGTGGATATTGAATGCTCCTTCGAATCTGCACCTATGTACTTTGAGCTACTTGGAAGTTGATATAATTGCATCACACCTGGTGGATCGTGGTTGTTATAAGGTTGACGATGCACAACACTTGTTTGTGCGCGGGACAAAACTCGGATTTCTGGCGTCAAGGAGGAACACATCGGATCGCAGGGTCCTCTTAAGGGTTGGATGGGACGACTCTTCTTACAAAATGTTCACCCGTGCCGTAGGATCATTTTGGAAGCGGGAAGCTTCAAAAAACTCATATTTCTTACGCAGATTGTGAAGTTTGGAGTGTATATCCAACTTTCCTGATGCGATCATCGTGATTTATGAGATACTTTCTGTTTAACAACAACTCTTCTTTTTGATCCAGCTGAAGTTTGCAATAGGTCCATTCGGCTCCCATATTTTAATTTGAATGTTTGTGCACACAGCGGGATAAAGAGTTGCGAATAACCCCTCTCATATATGGACCCATTCACCCTCATGCAACGAAGAACATCTGATCGTATGCTCCTCTCGTGGTAGCATGAACAATTGTTTACGCCCTAAACCTTTCATGCGTACTTACTAATTGTAATTACGATCCTGTGATGTTGCGATTGTAATGTTTTTCCTTTTTTTTAGATGAATACAAGAATGAAAATACAGCAAATATGACATTCTTACTGCCACATTAATTCGTCGCCTGCGGACCGATTATTGAAACTGATAGATAAAGCGATAGACAAAGACGACAAAAGGGATTTGGAGGGATCCTATTGGTGGAAACGGGTTGTTGCAATGGACAAAGGAGGTAGGTAATCGACTAAGTAACGGCAACCCACGAGAAACCCGACAGTTAGTCTATCATTTTCCCCCTTAGTCGATGAGAACCACCCATTTCAACCAATAGAATTGCTTTATACCCCCTATGTCATCTTTGTCTATCGCTTTGTCTATCAGTTTCAATAATCGCCCCGCTGGCTGGCAAAAGGACGTAACTACACATTGGCATGAGCCCAGGAAAGCATTAAATTGTATGGACGACATATACCAGCGGGCTGATTATTGAAACTTATAGACAAAGCTATAGACAAAGACGACAAAGGGATTTGGAGGGATCCTATTGGTGGAAGTGAGTGGTAGCAATGGACATGGGAGGTAGGTAATGGACTAACGAACGGCAACCCACGAGAAACCTGACAGTTAGTCCATCATTTTCTTCCTTAGTCTATAAGATCCAATCATGTCAACCAATAGGATCGCTCTATACTCTCTATGTCTTCTTTGTCTATCGCTTTGTCTATCAGTTTCAATAATCGGCCCGCTGATTGGCAGTAGGTGGCAAATGCTTTTGAGCCTTGGTTCGCCTTGTT